GCGGGGGGCTGGGCCGGGCCCAAAGCACCGACGCCCCGGATCCCACCGGCCCCGGATCCCACCAGCCCCGGATCCCACCGGCCCCGGATCCCACCAGCCCCGGATCCCACCGGCCCCGGATCCCACCGGCCCTGGATCCCACCAGCCCCGGATCCCACCGGCCCCGGATCCCACCCGCCCTCCTGCTGGAGGAGCAGCTCCACCTGGCACCATCCCTGGGGGCTCTCCCAGCTCTCCTCAGGAATTATTCCTGTCTCCCCTGGCGAGTCCAACAGACACTTAGCAGGGGGCAGAGCTGGAAGGGGTTTCCTGGAAAGGCCCGAGCACAACACGACCGTGGGATTAAATGTTTTCCCCCCGAGTGATTTTTTGGAGTGTGGAGGCTCTGCCTTCGTGAAACAGAGCTCCTGATTTCATAATTGATATTTAAAACCCACTTATTTTAGGCATCATATCAACTTCTGGCTATTTACAGGCCAGAAGTGAGATGTGTGTTCAATTCTTTTGCCCGAAAAAGGGCAATTTCAGTTTTCATCCCTTTTTTTAGAAAGACAAATAGGTATTTTTACCAGACAACCCATATTTTCTGTTAAAGCATTTTCCCTTCTGTGCTATTTTTCCTTCCTTTATGTGGATTTCCACCTTACCTTGAGTTTTGTGCCAACCCCATCAGTTCCAGACACCAAGATGGGATCTCTGTAACCAGCTGCTTTCAAGTCAAAGAGCCCAGCAAAGCCCCCGAGTTCTGCATTGCAGCCTGTCAGGAAACAGGAGGAAAGAGCCCAGTTTTACTTCCAGGGGCTTTCCAGGATCTCCAACACAAGTTCCCTCCAATACTTGTCAACACAACTTTGCTTTGTCACCAGGAAACTTTTCTCTGGCATTTAGAGCCTCTTCCCAGAGGCACAGGAGCTCCTAATCTGCCTGGGTTGGTTTTGTCTCTAATTCATCATTAACTTAAGCCTAAAAATCCCAGACTTGGTGATGGAACAGTCACCAATTACTGTGACTGACATAATTCACCCTTGCACTGAGTGTTTTTCTGAAAAATAGAGGAGGAACTGTAGCAACAGATTGTTACTGGTTGTACTGGTGTGTGTATCTCTGTTTTTCTCTCTGTGTATATCTGATTTTATCAGAAGGTTCTCAGCTAATCTGAAGTAAAAGAGCTTTTTAATGCATTTTTTTATAATTTAAATCTATCCAAAGAATTACAAGGACTTGCCAGAGCAAAAAAGGCACAAATTGATGCTGTTTTAGCCAAGCAAAAGATGTGTCTTCCACATCTGTCTCGGGAATTGTAACCTTTCCACACATTCACCCCCCCAAAATTAAATAGTTCACTTTGCAAGAAATAACAACCCATGCAATCAAACCCAGCAGGAAATGGTGGGGCTTTTGCTTGCATTTGTCCTGTGCTCTCTAACACCCCTGGCATTCAGGAGATGTAGTTTAGAGTCATTTGGGGATGAAAACCTGTCTGCCTGGAGGAAATCACAGGCATTTGCTTCCCACCCATATTTGTTGTGTCACCTGGGAACACCCAGAACACACAAGCAGGAGGTTTAGATCCAGATCCAGAGATAACCCTCATTCCATGGCACAGGAGCAGAAGGTCCATGTCTTACCTGACCTGGACGTGGCTGCAGCCAAGGGCTTGATCTTCTGAACCAGAGTGTTCCCTGCTGCAATGTCCACCCCACTGTTCTTGTAAGTCAGGCCTCTGGAAAAACGGGAAAAGAGGTTATGGAACTGACTGGTGAATCCCAAACATCTGTTTGCAAGCATTATTTGACCGGTGAATCCCAAACATCTGTTTGCAAGCATTATTTGACCGGTGAATCCCAAACATCTGTTTCCCACCAGGATTCCCTTGTTCCCATCCCTAAGGGATCCCCTGCCTGGAATGCCATCCTGCTCCCCCCCCTGCCCAGTGACTCTGTTCCCAGGAACTGATCTCCAAGGACTCATCTCAGGCAGGCTCAGCAGCTCAAGGCTGTTTGGAACCTGACCTGGGGACAGGGATTACTGCACCAAAGAAACAAAGCACGGGGGGTTTGCACCACAGACACTGCCAGAAGCAGGACTTGAATATTCCAAAGTGGCATCAGGATCATCCAGTGAAATCCCAGGACAAAACCAACGACAGAAAAGCCCAACAACAAGGTAAAAGAGGCAGAAATAAATCAATGACCTGCAGAGTTTTACAGCTGCAGCTGAAGGGTGGCCTCTCCTTCCCACCTGGGAGGATCCCACCACAAAACCAGCCCTTTTCACCTAAAAGGACTTTCTACTAAACAATATATTTTAAATTTAGTTAAAAAAGACCCAAGTTCTAAGGTGGATTTTAGGACTCTAGAAAGGAATGTCAGGAAGCTCCAGGTGGGGTTTATGTACAAAGAAGTGTTTGTGTCCCCTGTGTCCCCACAACTCACTGGGGACATGAGGCACCACCTCCTATTTTATTTCTGGAGCCAGAGATTTTAATGACCTTTAACTCCCACCAAACACATCTCACTCCAGTTAAGCAGCTGTTATTCCCATGCTGGCAGTGGCAGGAACCAGCTGCATCCCTATTTTAGGTCCAGCCCTACTTTCTCTCTCTTATTGATGGGATCCAGACTGAAGTTCAAATTCTAAGGGTGAAACACACTCTTGATTAACAAGGACAATACAACTAAACAACTGAAACTCATTTAAAATCGACTCAGCTGAACAATAAGATATACAGTTAATCCCCCAAACCCATCACAGGAACCAGGCTGAGAATTCAGGAAATATTAAAAACCAGTAAGAGACAGACACAAATGTTTAAATTGCATAAAACGGAGTAAATGTTTTTGTACTCTATTAAATCTAATTTTAAGATGTGAGAATTTTTTTTAGTGTCTAGGACACTGTTTCTCCTGTGAAGATCATTGCTGTAATATCTGGCACTGACCAAAACAGACTAAAATCCCAGAATAAGTGGCCCAAAGTGGTGCTACCAGGAAAATACCAAGGTGTCTGCACTGCCACCACATCCCTGTCAAGAGCTGGCAAGAGGAAAACAATTATCACAATTCTGTTCAGGCTGTGAGTGAGACTCAAGGAAATAGTGTCCTGCAACAACTAGAGAGCAATGTCAGGCCCTCTCATAGTAAACATTCACCAGATTTTCACCTTGTTTTTAAAAGTATTTTAAATTTCTAGTTTGTTTTTTTTTTATCTACTTTGGTCCTTTAAATGAATCTCTAATTATTTAGGTTTTCTGAAATACTGAGTAAATGTTCTGGCTGTTTTCCTGAAGGGAGATGCCTTGGGATGAATCCTCCTGGTAAGTCCCCAACGTTCCAGGCCAACCTTTCCCCTTCCTTCCCTGTGGGCAGCAAATCCAACGGGGATGGGGCTTGGAGCAACCTGAGCTGGTGGAGGGAGTCCCTGCCCATGGCAGGGGGTGGAACTGGATGGTCCCCGAGGTCCCTTCCAAGCCAAAGCAGTCTGGGACTGTGGGATTGACACATTCCCAACTGTTCTGCCAGTCCAGGAGCAGAGCCTGGGGCAGAGCCCAGGGCACTGAGACAGGCAGGGACTGCAAAGGGCTCCCAGGAGGCTCCTTGATGAGCCAGGGATCCTCCCAGCCAGGCATTCCAGGCAGGAAACTTGCTGGCTGTGGCCCATGAACCCAGTGCTGCAGGGAACTGCTCATTAAAAGCCTCCTCTTGCCTCACACACTGACCTCATTATTTACTCCTACAAACACAGATCCCAACTCCACGGTGCCACCTCCATTGCTCAGGGGATGCAGAGCACTTGGGAGAGAAAGAAGACTAAATACCAACACCCTGGTTCACTCAGGAAGTTTATTGATCACCATTTGACAGAATCCTAACAGGACCCACTGTCAGCACCGACAGAACTCACTGAAGTGCCCCCAGGCTACAAAATAACCCATTAGCAAAAGGAGTGTTTGGAGCTAACTGGAGACAGGCAGAGCTGCTTCAGATCAGGGGGAAAGGAGTCTAAAAACCTGCGAGAAGCTTTCAGTGACATGAGAGGGACAACAGGACTCACAGCTATAAACAAAAACCCCACACCCACGTGATCTCCAGACTGCTCAAACTGAACACTGGGAAAATTAAAGGAATAAGGATGAAAAGGAATGATAAATCCTACCATGTTGCTGGCCAGCCATTCCAGAAAAATTTGTATCCCAACAAGGTGGAGGCTTCAAGATAACTTTAACCCTTTCTAAAAACTCTAAAATGAACCAACAGATCAGCTCAAACTTTGTTCATATTTAGAATCCTGGAATACCCTGAGTGGGAAGGGACCCACAAGGATCATCCAGTCCAACCCCTGGCCCTGAACAGGACACCCCAACAATCCCACCCTGTCTCTTGGGGCTGTGACCACATTTCCTGATACTAATATTAACATTACACTTCTGGACAATACAAATCCAGAGCAAAAGCTGTGACTTCAGGCCCAAGAACCAGAAGTTGACCTTCCCCAAAACAGGTCTAACAGCCAGGAGCAGCACAAATGATTCCTGGGTGGTTTAACTGATTAGTTTAATTCCACTGTGGTTTAATTGATATTTGGGAATAAGAACATGGAAGAGAGTCATCCAAAAGCCTGTTCCTCCCTGGCTGGTCTTGCTGAGGTCGAGTACAAGGACAGTGGTTGAAACCTGCCAAGAGTGACACGGAATCACTCCTGCCAAGAGTGACTAATGTGGACCAGGGGTGCTATCTGCATGTCAAGCAGGGGTGTTATTGGAATATCTACCTGGATTGCCTGAGGAAAGCTATGGCCCGAGCACCAATGTCCTTCCTGTAGATGGCCCCCTGGAAGTGGATGGAGGCCACCCCCCTGTTGGCCTGCTGCAGGGCCGTGGGCAGGTCGTGCCCCAGGGCGGTGACGGTCAGCACGCGGCCCCCGCTGGTCACCACCCGGCCGTCCCGCAGGGCCGTGCCAGCGTGGAACACCTCCAGCCCCAGCTGCTGGGCCTGGGCCAGCCCTGCCGGGGGGGGGGAGAGAGAAGAAAAGCTGTTGGTTAGAACGTGCTCAGTGAACAGACACTCAGAAACCACAGAGCCAGCGTGAGCGCGCTGGGAAACGGGGACACACTGGGAAGAACTGCACTCGTGGGAGAGACGAGTCTGCTTGTGTGTCAGGGGAGGGGAACTCACTGACACACCTCAGCCCATGGGAGAGACGAGTCTGCTTGTGTGTCAGGGGAGGGGAACTCACTGACACACCTCAGCCCATGGGAGAGACGAGTCTGCTTGTGTGTCAGGGGAGGGGAACTCACTGACACACCTCAGCCCATGGGAGAGATGAGTCTGCTTGTGTGTCAGGGGAGGGGAACTCACTGACACACCTCAGCCCATGGGAGAGATGAGTCTGCTTGTGTGTCAGGGGAGGGGAACTCACTGACACACCTCAGCCCACGTGTCATTCCAGCTGGGCTGTGTGCCCCAGTGCCACACACAGCACAAACAGCAGCAGCAGGGTAGGGATCAGTGAGCAGAACCCCTGGACTGCAGCAGGTATTAAATAACACTGTGCCAATGTTAAATAATGTTAAATAACACTGTGCCAATGTTAAATAATGTTAAATAACACTGTGCCAATGTCAGGTGTTAAATAATGTTAAATAACACTGTNTGTTAAATAATGTTAAATAACACTGTGCCAATGTCAGGTGTTAAATAATGTTAAATAACACTGTGCCAACGTTAAATGAACGTGGAGAAACAAAAATACAACAGAACAAACCCAGAGGGGTGAAAATAGAACAAACTGAGATGGGTGAAAATAGAACAAACTGAGATGGGTGAAAATTCAGCTGGTTCTTGCTGCCCCACAACCCCAGTCTGCATGGATCTCAGCTCCAGGGATTCACCCTCACCCAGCAAGAGAGAGAACAGGAGAGGAAGGAGCCTGCTGTGGTTTCTCCTGCCGCATTTACCTGTGATTTCCAAGCCCTTGGGATACGCCCCCGGGTAGCCCTGGCTGGCCATGACCACGGTCACGGCTGCACTGCCCTCCAGCCACACCGGCAGGGAGCTGGAGAGCCTTTTGGTGACAACTGCCTGCATGACCTCGTACAAATCACTCTGCAGCAGGGGCAGAATTACCTGCAGAAACACAAGAGCAGCCAGTCAAACCCAGCATTGCTCTGTTTTCTCCCCTGGCCTTTCAAAAGACACTAATGCAGCTGTAAAAATAACATTAAGTATTTCACACATACCGCCTGTAATCTGGGTACCCTTAAAAGCACCCTTCCTTGAAGGTAATTTCTATGGGTAAAAGAAGGGAATTGTTACATCTGGAGGGGAAAAGGTACAGGACAAAGAACCCTATTTATCCTGGAGAATAGAAATTAAGAGAGTTTTTTCCACTTTCGAACTGGGAGTGAGGAAAAGAAGTGTTGGCTTCTTTAATAAATTAAAAAAAAAAATCCAACTCCATTCCAGAAAAGATAGGGAAGTGCTGAATTCCAGTCAAGCTGGCCCCTGTGAAGCCCAGATTTGAGTCCAGCCTGCTGGAATCTTCTCTGGAATGGAGCAATTTCCAAAGAGATCTTCTGTCCTGAATAAATAACCCAAATATTTTAAATCTCAGTGCAATTAGCTAATTATTCACCCAAAAGCTGGTTAACAACAGTGGCAGATGGTCACAGATTTTTCTCCCCTAAAGCCAAACTGTATCTACCCCCAGAATAACTCACCTGACACTCTGGGTCACCAAATCTGCAGTTAAACTCCAGAACTTTAGGCCCATCTTTGGTGAGCATTAATCCAGCATAAAGCACACCTAGGACAGAAAATGATGTGAAAAACTCCCTCAGCACCTGCCCAGCTCATTTGTTTCGAGTCTGTTGATAACAGGGTTTAGAAGGATGTCCCCTGTGCTCACTGAACTTGAGAAATGGAACAATAAATCAGGCAGAAACAGTTGTGGTCACAGTTTTGCTGTTCCTGGCTGTTCTTCCTCACTTGACAATTATCCCCCATTCAGGAAATGACATCTATTGATTTCCACGGACTCTGAATCAAGCCAGTGACACCAAACCCAGTTGCCAAAGAAATCAAAGCTATCTCCCTTACCTTCCAGGCTGAGTTAGGCCTACAAAGAGGAAAAGTGAAATAAAAGGTCTTTCTCCTCATGATTAAAAACCCCAGACTTCTGTACCTACCCAAATAGGGGACACCTTCTTTCCTCATGCCATCAACAGTCTTCTGAAGTACAGTATCTCTGATTTGCTGCAGCAAATCTTTAGAAATCTAATAAAACAGGACCAGAAAACAGGGTTTGTGAAAAGGGAGGGCACGATTTTGTGTTTTTAAGACCTGAGCAGAACACTTGGATGGTCCCCTGCTCACTCCAAGAGTGAGTCACTCCAAGTTTTCCAATGGAAAACTAATCATTCTTTTCCCTCTGTTTTTGCAGACAGAAGTTCCTTGTCAAACAGACACCAAACTGCCTCAAGGCACAGCAGAAATTCATCCCCAGCTTTGCCTGGCACAGGGTAAAAGTGTGACTTTGGAGCACTTGGTTCTAACGATCAGCCCTTCAAAACACTTCAAGACCCAGGCTGTAGAAACACCACTTCCACCTTTAAAATTCAAAGGAACTCAGTAGGAATACCCTCCTCTTCAGGGAAATTTAGTAAGTGATGGATTTGACTTGGCCTTGTTTCTTTTAGGCAGCTCTTCCCATCCACAGGAGCCCGTTCCCTCCCGTTCATCCTGGTGGAGCTGAACGTTCCCCCCTGCTTTGTAGTGAAACATCTCCTCACCCGTCCCTTTTTCCCTTCCCCACCATCCCAGTTTTACCTGAGGAGCTGGGCAATAGGCTCCCATCCCTCCCGTGTTGGGCCCCTCGTCCCCATCCAGCAGCCTCTTGTGGTCCTGGGCCGGCGGCATGGGAGCGACGGTGACGCCGTCGGTGAAACACAAGCACTGGGGAACAGGGGGAGCGTTACAATTCCAGCCTGTGCAGTTCTGCAGCTGAGGGGGAACGGTGGCACTGCAGCTGCTCTGCGGGGACACTGAGGAGGAACAACTCTGCCCCCCTCGCCAAACAAACCACGGGATTCTGAAGAGTCGCCTTCCCCTCGTTTCGTACGAACCCTCCTCCAGAAATCACCTCTAATAAAACAGGTAAAAACTACACCACCGGCGGCTGCACCGAAAAGAAACACTCAAAACTTTAAAAAAAAATTAAAAAATTAAAACACAGCCCGGTGGAAATGACTGCTTCCCTCCCCTCCCTCCCCCTGCCCCGGAAGGAAGGCATTCCATTGCTTCCAAGGCTTCCTTTTCCTCGCTGAGAAAGCTGCTTGCTCGTGAATTGTTTATAAATTATTTATACAACAGTTGCTTTTATCCTCAGTATCTTCATCATTACAAGGCTGCTGGCAGCTTCTGCAACTGGCTGATGTTGCTCACTGAGGCTGGGTAATGTTGTTCCCTGTCTGGACTAACGTGAACAGCACTGAAACCCATTTTATAATGCTAATTATAAAATTGATAAATCAAGCAAGGATTCTGCTAATCAAAAAGAAAAAAAAAAAGCTAAAATATTAATATATTAAAAAATACGTGGTTTGTGGGAGGTGAATTATCTTGCTGGGCAAGGAAAGCAGTACATTTTCTTCACTGTTGTCAGTCAGCACAGAAAAAAACCAACCATACACTGGATTTTGTTTTATTGTGTTGTATTAAGTAAGTCTGCTGGGTATTCCAAGTTTTAGTTTTTAAATGAAGGGGCTGAATCAGCTTAAAATGAAGGAAAAGTTCTCTCTACCTCTGCAGAGTAAATCAACACTGTCAAAACAAGGACTGATTTTTTTCCATGTGGCAACAGCTGTTTGAGTTATTCTTATTTAATGTGATTTATTTTAACAGACCACAGGGAGTTTGGCTCTTAGCACAGCTGTCTTCAATTAATACCACTTTATTTACACCAGGTAACTGGTTTTAATTGAAACAATGATTTTTTTCATTTACTAAAGAATAAATTTCTCCCCTTTGCAGGTGGGGTTAGTCCTACAGTGTGTCCTGGGTAGTTTAGGGCAGGGGGAATCAAGGTGTTACAGTGAGATGCACTTACAGAAATCTCTTCTCCTTCAAGAAGCTCTTCAACAACCACGGTTTCCCCAGCTGTGCCAAAACTCTTATCCTACAGGAAAACAAAATCTCTTTACTTCTGTTTCACTGGTTTTAAAGTACTGAAAATGGAACAAGAAATAAATACTTTTAATACAGCAAAAAAACCACAGCACAGGTTTGAGACTCTGAATCCCTTCTCCCCCCGGGGGGTGTCAGCAGTGGGAAATTCCTTGTTCCTCTTTTCTGATTATTCTTAAATAAATGCAGGTTTTCTTACTGAGTATTTTCAAGTGGCAGGGGTTATTTGTGATTCCTGAGCAATTCCACAAGCTGAATTTTGCCCCCATGTCACTGAGACCAACAGCAAGGACTGTCGAGTCTCCCATCTGAAGTTTTACTTGACAGGAAAGTGCAGTTTTATACAATATATGGGAAGGGAGCGAGATTTTCATATCCCAGGGCAATGTCTGAACACTGACTGCATGCTCTGGGTAATTAAGAAATTAAGAACAACCAGCCCAGGCTGACAAGGTAATTTTGGGGTCTATAAGACTCCCTAACACACAGTTTTTTGTACACGACATTGGGGCACATGTTGAGACATTTATTGTCTTATTCACCCCCCAAAATGGGACTGCAGAGCCCCTGTTGAAACCCACACTGAAACACAGGCCTGTCAGATCCCATCTCCTGGGGATCAGCAGAGCTCCAGGGAATTTTACATTGCTCCTCTGCTGACACCAGCTGAGGGCCTGGCCTGGCAGCCTCAGCTCTGTGCTCCTCACTGGTCTGATAAAATCACTGACTTTTGCCTCACTTCTAATTTTGATGCTCTGAATATGTTTGCAGAATATCCTACCTCATTGTACACTTCACTTGGAATAATTCCACTAGAATTTTACTGTACATTCAAGTGCTGTGTGATGAGTCCTAAAGCTAATGGTGCTTGTAAAGATCCTCCTCAGTGCCAGAGCTCCTGTTCCTGCTTGGCTGCAGCAGCCTCAGATGGTATAATAAAAAAAGGAAACACATGTACAAATAAGTGAAATCAGGGTGGGTTTTCATGAAGAATGGTTTTATTTGAGCCCACAGGAAGTATGCCTCCAGCAATAAATATAACAGAGCTTCATAGCTGTCCAAACAATGGGTGGAAGGTTTGATGTCTTACAGCCAAGCTCCTGTCACACAGAAATAAGGAACATCTCTGAGGCTCTGAGAGGGTTCCCAGCCTGTTTTGTGTACCCAGGTGAGTGTGTGACATCCCTGCTCACCTGCATCATTTCAGTGACAGCTTTGCAGGCCTCTGCCTTGGTTGAGGCCACGATGACTCCTTTGCCAGCTGCCAGGCCACTGGCTTTCACCACCAGAGCAGGGAAGTTTGCACTGCAGAGGCACAGGACAGACATTCAACACTAAACAACCTTTGCAAAGACAATTTGAGCATTTCAAGAGCTGAGAGATCAAAAGGTCAGAACACTTCTATGTTTTCATAGCAACCTTACTGAGTAACACACAGATCAAACCAGGCTCCTCCTGCTCTGCCTGTGAAGGGTTTGTGTTTCTTTGCCCCACCACTGAATTCCATGAGTGTTCATTCCTGCTTTCCATGCAATAATTCACTCCTGTATCATCTGGGGTCACCTGGGTTGTACCCTGATGAGCAGACCATCAGTTGCTGAGTAAGTCTCCAAATATACTCCTGGAGAAGAGGCCAAGAACCAGAACAGATGGTTCTCAGGCTGCTCGCTGGGTCTCCACAGCAGGAGTTTGAAAAGAAATAAAACCTGTCCTACATTTTCCTGTAAACTGAGCACTGAACTGTAATTTCACTTTGGAGCAGTAGGTAAGAACCACTTCTATCACCTGCTGCACTTTGACAGTGGTTAAGTGATCCTTTAAAACCTTTCCAGGTGTTCCATCGCAAAGGTATCGATACATCAGCCATCATTTGACTGGGTTTGGATATCCAGCACATAAAAATATGCCTCAAATGCCCAGCCCTGTACCTGTTAATAAAGCTGCAGGCTGCCTTGGGGTCAGTGAAGGCTTTCCACCTCGCAGTTGGGATGCCATGACGGTCAAAGAAGGCCTTGGAAAAGCTCTTGCTGGACTCCAGCTGAGCTGCCTTTGCTGTGGGGCCAAAACACCTGATCCCAGCTGCTGTCAGGTCATCCACAACCCCTGCAAACACAACACAAACATGGTATGAACCTCCAGATGATCTGTGGCAGTCAGGCAGGCCAAGACACAGGAGCACTGACTCCTTGGAACAAGGATGTGAGGAATAACAAGTCACATACATCTCTGCAGTGCCCGTTTCCCCAGCTGGGCCCTGGCTGCATTCCTCCCTGGAATCAGGAGCCTGGGACTCCTGAGGCTCCGAGGATTTGGGAAGAGGTGACAATCCCCCTTTGGTTTATTGGATCTTTTAGCTCAAAAGCCAACATTAGGCTTTTGTGAAGGTGCCAATGGTTGAACAGGTAAAAGGTTCAAACAGAAAAATTACCAGCACGTTTATATTTATCTTTTTTCACCAAGACTCAAACGATAATTATTTCAAAACATTTGGAAAACCAAAACTGCTTTTATTGCTAATACAATATCCTTCAGAAATTCATTTTCACCTCAGCACAACCCCCAGTTTCAGGGAAGGTGTCCCAAAGGATCTGTTCCATTCCCACTGGAGACACTCGGACAGTGCTGAGTGACGACAGACGAGGACTAAAATTTCCCTTTCTTCCTAAAAGCTGAAGGCTGTGATTTTTAGCTTGTTTCTCTTACCAGCAGCAAGAGGGACCTCTGGACCAACCACCACCAGCCTGATGTCTTGATCTCTGCAGAACTGGGCGAGGGCAGCGTGATCACTGACTGGAACAGCTGGTGGAGACACAAAGGGGGGTGAGATCCCATCAGGAGTGTCGGTCAGCACTGACTTTAACCAGAACATAATCTTTTCTTCAGCCAGTCTCCTCCCTCTGTAGAGTCACCATGAAGCTTTACAGATGTAAGACCAGGTTGGACAGGGCTTGGAGCAACCTGGGCTGGTGGAAGGTGTCCCTGCCCATGGCAGGGGGTGGCATTGGATGGGCATTAAGGTCCCTTCCATCCCAAACCACTCCATGATTCTATGATCTCAGGATATTCGTGCCAGTAGGGTGTGGGGAATGAAGCAAGTGGCTGGTGGTGGGATTCCAACTCATCTATTTTCTTTTTTTTCCTTCTTTCTGTAGTGCTGCACTAAACCCACCTCACCGAGACCAAGGGGAATCAGAACATTTGTTTTGTACGTTAAGCTGAAGTTAATTAAGAAGGACCAGTGCTGCCATTGTGGCCAAGGGCACGTGGGCTCAGGTGGCTACAACCATCACCCTTCCACAAACAAACATTCCCTGTGACGACACCTGGACTGCCCCAAACTGTGCAAACAGAAGGAGAGGCTGCCCCAGAGACAACAACGCCAAGGCTCCTGATAAAAACGTTACGCAAAGGCCCCGCAGTCCCACTGAGTTATCGCAGATAAATAAAGCCAAGGTCTGAGAGGATGGACCCCGAGAGCCAAAGAAGGGTGAGCCTGGTGTGGATTGGCTGCTTGGGCTGGGAGGAGACAACACAACAGGGCACCGTGTTGGCAAAGGGGGCACAGAATCCCACAGTCATCCAGGCTGGCAGAGCCCTCCAGGATCACCCAGTCCCACCCCAGCACCACCACATCACCCCCAGTCCATGTCCCCAAGGGCCTCTTCAACACTCCCACACACAGGGACTCCACCACCTCCCTGGGACACTTATTCCAAGGCCTGACCACTCCTGCAGGAAAAAACTGTTTCTAATCTCCAATCTGAACCTGCCCCGGTGCAGTTTGAGGCCATTTCCTCTCCTCCTTTCCCTTGGGACATGGCAGCAGACAGGCAAACACAGCAGGAGCTGATGGGCTCCCCTGGCCAGTTTCTGGGAGGTGATGAGAGAGAAAGGAGAGGAGTGGACAGTCAGTGCCCACTGTGCTCCTGCCATCCTGGATGGATGAATCCACAGAAACATGGAATCCCAGGAAGGACCTCAAAGCCCATCCAGTGATACCCCCTGCCATGGGCAGGGACACCTTCCA